TGTGAATCTACTCTCTATTGAACGTGGGAGCTTTGAATCTACACTGTAATTGCATACAGTTTTATTCTAAATCCAGCCTTAAACAGAATCAGATTAATGAATAAATAATTAAATTACACATCCAAATCCACTATCACATTACTGATGTTGGTGTTCAGGGTGGAGTTGTTGGAAGTCGGTGTGATGCACACAGTCTGCTGTTTGATTCTGATGTCTCCTGTGTACTAAAATTATTTTCCTCTATAACTACAGTTAGGTGATAATTCCAGGTAGAAGATGTGATTATTGTGTGGTCAGATTACACAGTTGTCTACACTACTTTGAATTAATGTGTCATTTCAATGTCTGCCCCAGTTGTCTTAGTACCATTATCTTGAAAAAAGAGAGGATTCTTAAAAACATTTCATGCAAAGACAAAACTATTGTCTTAATAGGAGACACATGCTGTACTGTGTAGTTACAAATATGTCTTAACAACTTTTTCTTGGACTGACCCTTTTGTGAGAAATTGACACAGCTACAATTACATGAAACTAACAGATTTTTCCTGCTTCATTGCCTTGAATCAGATCTGTATTCATGAGCTGTGACAGGATACGCAGCACCTGTAGTGCTGCTATGTTTGTGTTTCTAAATGTCAGCGTTGGAGCTAATGTGTTTGTACAAGCTGAAAAAAAACCCCCACTGCTGCTAAGACAAGCCTTTTAAGAAGACATGGCCGCCAGGGTGGCGATCATGTAATGTAAGGAGTAGCATTGCAAAAGTAAGAGAGGCGATAACTTTGTCCAGTTTGATCTGTGAACCCGTGTCAGTACTTGAAGTATTGTAAGACCAATCTTAAACCACCTGTTTACTGGTTTCTTGAAGAAAGAGAACAAGGAATGTTGGGGTGTGCCTTTGCAAATTTTATTGCTTAGTGTTACTTGATAAGATCAGTACTGCTCTCTTGTGTGCATTAGGTATGAAGCTGGAGCCAGCAACCAGTTAGCTTAGGTTATGAAAAATGTTTAAAGAAAGCATTAAAGTTCACTCATAGTGTGGCACCACAGTGTGTCCTCCTTAGACTTACAGATTACTAAAACAGTGACATAATATGTTGATTTGTAAGCCCCAAGCCCACTATCTGCTGCATCTCTTACTGGCTGTCATCTATCTGCTCACTAAAAATGTAGGTGTTGGTGCCTAAAAGCTCCTCTTGATAAACCTAAATTTTACCTGCAGTACACCGAGGACTATCACGCTGCATTGCTCTCTGTAAACGCACATAACATTACATAATAACTTCCTCAACTGAAAGCAAATTTGGAGTCTCGTGTTACTCCCTGTGTGGTTTTCCGCCTTCTCTGACTCAGTATGGGCTTCAAGAATGACATTTTCCTTTATTCTGTCTTAGCTTACATATACTTTGTAATTCGCTAGCAATTCCTTCTCGAGTTGCAAGTTCAAAAGTTTAAATGTAAAACAGAGGCTAGAGCTGCAAAGGAGGATTGCCATAAAACACAGCAGACCATAGATTATGCAGAAGAACATAATGCACTTATTGTAGAAAGGTATAACGGGGTGTGTGTGTTTGCTGAGCTGAAAGGCATCCCTATCAAAAAGTGAAAAGTCTATCTTTAAGTGTAAGGCCAACCCAGGGAGCTGTTTAACTCAGGTTCACTGTCGTTTTCCTCATAACCTCATCTGTTGCTGTCAGCTATTTATAATTTGTGGAAGTTAATGAAAAATACATGATCTCTTTCTTGTCTTCCTCAGGTCCGAACACTATTTGTCAGTGGCCTACCGCTGGATATTAAGCCACGGGAGCTCTATCTCCTGTTCAGACCATTTAAGGTATGTTTGTATGTTTTAAATTGATGGGCTGCAGCTATTCTTAGCAGATTTCTTTCCAGCAGTCAATGGGACCTCCATTAATGGTGATGGAATAAAGGGCAATGGAAACTCTCCCGCAAGGTTCAAGTGTCTGTGTTCCTCAAACCGAGGTTCACTCACATCTTGATCCCAGGGCAGCCTGTGTGTGTGTGTCTCATGGAAAATATTGCTCGCTGCCTTCCATTCAAAAACAAAACTATTTGCTTCACCTCAGAAATTTCACTTTGCCACAGCACAAAGAGTCCTAGAGTTCAGTCCAAGTGAATGCATCTACAAGCTTTTGGACCATTGCCCTAGAATAATGCACTTTAATGGAGCAGCACAGTTAGAGTGAATAATGGGACAATTGCTATGCATCTGATACCTCACTTAGAGCAGATAATGCTCATGGTATGTGCTCAGAGTACACGGTTTAAATCATGACTGTTGAAGGCAGTAAATCTGGGATGTATCAGGTAAGACAACACTCCTGTACACATGGTCTTCATAAGAGCTCCTTGACCCATGAAACAATCCAGCTGCATTAGTTTTGAACCAGCAGTGCTTTAACTAAATAGAATTGTTAAACTAATTGCTCATTTGGGTACAAATGAATACGTTTAACATTTTTTACTTCATCAGTATTGTTAGCAGACACTATTTCTTTCTTTCAGGGCTATGAAGGCTCCTTGATAAAACTCACTTCCAAACAGGTATGTTACAAGACGCACTGAGCGCTCTGTTTTATGTACAAAGAAATTAGTGAATGAAGCATCTGTCTGTCTCTCATCATGCTGTTACTGTTTGCATTACACAGAGTCTCTTGCTTATCAGCACCTTTATTTTCTTGTCTTTCCTTTGTCCTGCTGTTCCTCTCTTGGTGTTGCAGCTTGTTGTCTATGTCGGATTAGCACCTTTTGCCAGGAGGTACCTGGATTTGGGGAAAAAAAAAAAAAAAAAACCTGACTTGGGGGGAGGGAAGGGAAAAAAGTGATGCACCAACTTGCCTTGGGCAGTCAGATAGTGTGCTTTTAGTTACAGACAGTCATCTCTGGTGGGATGTATGGGCATGAGAGGGGAGACGGGAGAAAGAAATCTGAAGTGTCAAAGCGAGCGTTTTGACAAGAGCAGTGCTGATGGTTGAGTTTTGTCTCCAGGGGCTCAGAACTGAAAATGAGCTCAGCTGGCAGGTGTCCACATCCAGAGTTAAGCAATTTAGCTTTATGTCGGTGTACTTATTACCGCATCACGCTGTTTCCCATAAAGACATGACATTCTCATTAGAAGGGTTTTAGAGCAATTTGAACTGAATGTGTGGAAAAAGTAAGAACAAGCAAAATTTCATTTATCTTATTTGATTCATTGTGCTTGCAAGATTTCAACACGCCTTTAGCTGCTATTGTGATATATGTTTTACATTTTAGCACACTGAGGTCCACTTTTACTTATGGTTTGTTGTAATATTAATTTCATTAATGTACTGTTTATTTGTTTTTTTCCATTAGACTTCTTTGTGCTGTGTCTAGAATGAATAATCTGCCCATTATTTCCTTAGTTGACTCATTTTCAGAACAAAAAATATTCAGTTTACAATGGTATAAAACAGAAAAAAGCAGCAGGTCGTCACATTGGACAGCTAGAAACATCTCTGCAGTCAGACTGTGTGGACATTAAGACATGACAGTTTATGGCAATGCAGTTCTGCTGAAGATGTGGGAGGCTACTTTTATCAACATCAACGAAAGGAAGGTAAACTGTGGAGGCGTTTATATGTGTAGCTGATTCATAATCAGTTAATTGGCTGATGTCAGCTCTAGTTGTGACTGAAGCTTTTACAGTTAAGTTCAAAATCTCTGCAGGTATGGCTCTTTTTTTGTTTAGCATGTTTAATGAATACACATGACTCTCTCTGCACTCAGGCCTCTCTCCAACTGCCGTCTTCTGCATGTTAACCGTTGCTTATGTTCTGTGATACATCCCAAAGTACTGTACAACTCTAACTAATGGAAATGACAGTGGCTATGTAAATCCATTGATCTCCCTCTCCTTTCACAGCCATCACACACAGTCTTCTCCATATATAGCAAGAGCCAGATCTCAGGCCCTTTCTATTTATATTCCTGTTATGCTTCCTCCTCCTGACGTCTTCTCTTAGTCCCTCTTTTTTCATGTTTCTTCTTTCCTTCCTCCCCTCCTCCTTTACCCCCTCTTCACTTTACTTGTTCATAATTCCCATAACCCTAGACTGTTTTCCTGATCACACAAAGCAGTGCAACCCCATGGGAGTATGTTTTAAGATTTCATTTTCTCCTCACAGCATCCACACACACACTCATGCTAATAAAAAGTGTGTTCTTTGTTCATATCTGACAACCAAACCTGCATCCTTATGTTTTTTTTTTCTTTTGCCTTTCCCTCTTGCTCGCTCACCGTTGCTATTGTGGCACTAAACACTGCTGAAATAGATGTGAACAACAATATATTGCATGCTTTTCCACTGACAGGCCTGTTTGAGGAGGCTTTAAAAACTATTTCAACACTTTCTACCTCTCACCTCACTTTCTTTCATTTTCTTCTCACCTTTAACCTCTAGATTCTTGTTCTCCAGGCCCCTATTTGTCTTCCTTTTTCTCTCCCTATCTCTTCTCCTTTTTCAGCTCCCCAGGCCCCCGCCTCTCTCACACTCAGCTCATACATGCACTTTCTCTCTCGCACATTGCCCGTATTTGGGCATAGGAGAGCTGAATGATGATCTCTCCTTGTACAAAGTAAGCGTCCAGCTTCCATTTTTTTCACCATGGTTTTACAATGCGGCCGAGACAGAGAGGGGCAGAAAAGGAGGGAGGTGGGTTTGATGGGAAATAAAAAAAGAACAACATGTCTCTGTCACTCAGACAGAAATGCAGACTCAGTTTTCTGCCTTAAACCATGTTCCTTTCTTTTGTTCTGTGTTCTTGTCTCCCCAGCCTGTGGGGTTTGTCAGCTTTGACAGTCGATCAGAGGCAGAGGCTGCTAAGAATGCCTTGAATGTAAGTGTCATGCCCTCTCCGTGCTCCTCTCAGCTCAGTGCTGGTACATCTTGTGATGACATGGAATTGTATCTTTCTGCCTTCCTGTGCAAATGCATTTGATATTTGGGAAATCCAGACATTCCTACATTTTCTATCACACACAAAAAGACAGAAAAGGTAAAGACAAACATATTATGGCTGCTCTAAATACTGTACATCTGAATGTTTCTGTTTGAGTAAATAAAGCCTTCTTTCTTGAAACTTCATGCTGGAGCCTTCAGATTCAGGAGGAAAATCAGCTCTTCTGGCATATATAAATAGGCGATATTGATCTAGGGTTTAATTATAATCTCACTTATTTCAGAAAGCAGCTCAGTAGAAAGGCTTGATGAGACAGACTCACAGGTTTTATTCAGCCCTGTTGAAACAAAGTAAAGATACACTGTAATGAACAGCGGGTCTCTTTTTTTCTCCCTTTGATTTTTTTAAAAACACATCTAGATATAAACCTTCTATTGCTTCTTAAATGTTTGTTTATCTGTTTGTCCCAGAAAAAGATCAGGTTTATCATCCTTCTAAAGTGGGACTGTGACAGCGCGAGCGAGATCTGTCAACTTTCAGATGTCGAGATATTGGTGTGCATCAAAAGCTGAGCAGAGAGTTGAAGGAAGGATAAAAATTATCATCTTATTATGTGCCTACAATAGTCAGATTGTTTCCATAGAATCACTCAGTGGGGCTGAGAATTGAACAGTGCTCTTGTTTTTCGGGCAAAACTATGTCCCAGGGGTCATACAGAGATGAGGCAGATTTTGCAAGCATCTATCTGCATATTGAAATATGAGAAACACTGCAGGAAGGAAGGGGATTTTGTTTTCCATCAGGACAGTTCTATTGTATTTCCTATAACTGCAGATATAGTTCTAAAAGAAAACCTAATTCTAACAACACCATTGCAGCAATTATATTTATCGCCAAAATAAAGCATACGTTAGTGCTGAGGAGCTAAAAAAAAACACATTTCAAGGTAAAGAGTCGACTCGGTTCCAACTGAGATGTGCTCAGGCCTCATTATATCCATGTACCTTATTATACTTCTGCAGCCTTGGCTCGCAGAAGCTGTGCTTGCATTGAGCCAAGGCAATCCTATTTAATACCTTCCCCTTCGTGAGAGGAGCCATCCCTCGCTTGTTTCAGCTCAGCTTTGCCAGAGCCAGCTGAGAACCCATCCTCGCTGTTTCTCGCTCTTCTGCTGGAGAGAACTTTACTCTAGATTGATTTTTCTCCTCCATTGATCTGACCTTCGATATTTTTCTGCGTCTTTTTATGGACAATCAAATGAGGTTAATTAGAGGGTGTTTATAGCCGATGGTGAAATTCTTCCTTTCTTTGTTGCTTTCAAGCAAAGTAAACGAATAGCAGCTTTGTTAATTGATGAAAACCTTTGTTTTTCTTAGCATTTCTCATTTTTCCTCAGACAAAAGTAATTGAGAAGAAAAATGATTTGGATTACTGCACAAGTCATTTGATGTAGTTCTGAGTGAAAAAACCAGCCTTTATTTGGCTTGCTATGAGCAACACTATGTCAGAGGTCTTTTAGCACTGGCATCTCAGGATTTTTCCAAAATGGTTCACTTTAGGTGGTGGTGCTTTCATGGTGATTGGGGGATTTGGTATCATATAGTTGCAGAGCTCAGCAGGGAGCCTTGTGGCCTGTCTGTGGCGTAAATGACATCATGTGCTGCCCAGGTTTGTGTCATCAGGTGTTGATTTTCAGTCACAGGAGTCACCCGTCATCATGTGCACCCAACCAGAATAACGCTGTAGTCCTCAGTGAGCAGTGAAGGTGTTTATTTGCCACCAAAATTTCGGCAGTAAATTTTGTCACGACATACTGAAAGATAAAAAGTAAACAAAGTGAAAATTCCAGCCAGGTACCTCTGGACATTAAAGGACCCACAACAAGGCTGAGCAAAAGTAGAAGATGTGTATGATAATTAACTCCTCAGTGGTGTAAATTAGCCTGACTCTTCATTAGACAGCAAGTCTGTCAGTTGCCTTCTATGATTTATAACCTCGCCTCCTCAGTGAACATTTTGTCAGGATGTCACAGGCACAGTCACTAAACTAAAGGATTACTCATTAGGCATCATTATGTGTTGAACCATAATCTGGCTCACCAACACACCTCTGACTTTAAGCAAGGGAACTGGCTGGGTCATGGACAAATAAGTTATTGCTGCTTGAAAGAATTGACTTACTGTAATACTCAAAGTTGA